TGAAATGGCATCAGAGAAATACAAAAGGGAAGGGAAAAATATACACCATTATCCATCACTTTAGTGTCAACCTATCAAGAACTGGGTTTTGGGGAAAGGTGAACACCCAAGCAAGCCAAGGATGATGGCATGGTGAAAGGCAATGAAGTACAGGAACAAAAACGATGGCAGACAGCCAAACCTCTTAGAGCCTTGGACTTGGAGCCAGGAAGGCCCAACTAGCAACCCCACCTCAGACACATAGGAGGTGTGTCCTCCTGGCCTGAGTAACTTCCCATGTCTTAGCTTCAGTTAATTCCTCTTTTAATTGGACTAAAAAGAGCATCAGAATCAGAGGTCTGCTGTTGGGTCAAAGGAGATAACAAGCACATACTGTACTCCTTCAGTAATATTTGCTCTGCTTGTTGCTGATATCGTGGTTGAAATGATTATTACTGCTTTGTTACTGTTACTATTTTTATTGTGATTAATCCTGAACAGAATGGAAAAGATCTCACAGACTTCCAGAACAAAGAACAGAATCTGTCCATTACATTATGGCAGACCCTTTAGGCAAGACCAAATGCCACCCCCAAGCACAATCATCATCCATTTTTCTTGAAAGAGTTATTGAAGAGAGTTACTTTTGGAAGAGAAGTGGGATGGTTGCCTGAGGACACTTGTGAACCTGAGAGCCAGTTCTCAGATCTTCCAGGGTATCTCAGTCCTAGGAAGAAAAAGTACAGTTATGATGTGAAGCCAAAGGGACTCAGAGGGAAAGAGATGGCAAGACTGACTGTGTGGGAGGCCCTGCACATCTTCCAGCTCTCTGGCATCCCAACTACTTACATTTCCTTTAGTCCTGCTGATGCCATTCAGTGGAGGCAAGAGAATGGGAATGACAAGAAAAAATAAAATATGACTGAGGTAGAGGCCCATTCAAGGTGGTGTCCAGTAGCCAGCATCTGGAGTCAGCCAAACAGGGGACCTGAAGCTTACATCAGACACATTCTATTGATCAGGCCTTTGAAACCCTTGATGACCTTTTCAACTGTCCAATAAGGAACTTTCAAGCAAATGGCCCCTGAAAAGGCCTATGTGTCTGCCTATGTATACCCTGAATTTTTAGGAAAATGAAGGATGGCAAGAATGGAAACATTTGTGGCAAGGGAGGAAAAACCACCAGGTGACCAGCAGAGGCTGAAATCACTAAGAGGCCCCATCCTGACATGCATGGTAAGGAAGCCTGGACTTCACATCTCAACTCATCCACTTACCAGACATGTGAAGAGGGACAAGTCATGTGACCTCACTCTTCCTCAGTTCTCTGGCCTAAAAAAATCTGAGCAAGAAAACCACCAATCTCACAATTTTCTTGAAGGCTCAAAAGGCACACAAAATGTAGAGCTTGCTGCATACAAGAGAGTTCTTTTTCTTATTAATGATGTTAAAGATAGGTCCCAGAGCAAGCCTCACTTGGTCACTTTTTGAGTTTTGATGGCTCAGAGTGAGTGCAAATAGCAATTGTTTTTGTTCTGGCCAGAAACCCTGAGGGAGTTCCCCTTCCAGAATGATTTTTTTTTTGAGTAGGCAAACTAGGCCATCTTTTGCCTCATTTCTTACCTAGCCTTAATCATTGAATGGGTGTTGCCTCAGACAAACTGAGAACTGGGCAAGACCTGAAGCTTAAAAAGGCCGAGGTCTCCTACTGCATCTGGGGCCATTTCCAAGTGGACCCAGACAACCAAGGAGGAAAGAGTGAGGCTGGTGACTTTTCACTGCCCTCCCTCACTTAAAAACAATTCATGTACAAGTCAAGATATTACCTTCCTGATGTCACTAGTCCTTTTGGAGAATGAAGGACAAACAACAAGAACAACAAATGATGTGCGAGAGAAATTCCAAGGAAAAATATGTCAGGAGCGCAAGGGAACTACTTCAAAGTTCCATCAGGGACTAAACTCCCTGGGTTTCCCTGATTTAGGCCCCCAGACCTAACCTATCAAATTGCTGAAACAAATGCAAATCTGGAAACTCACCTTTGAAAAGAAACAGTGAGCTTGTCAAAATTAAATTTGTTCACAAGGGGAAGATTGCTCAGCTGTTCCTGGGAATAAACCTAGAATCAATCAACAGAGAAATGAGGTTAACTTTAAGACACTCTGTGAGAGGCCAAAAGAAGGAGAAACTGACATTTGGAGGACTGGGACTTAGAATCTGATCTAAGCCTGCAAGAACTTTTGCCCCTAGAAACGTACACTTATTTTTTCACCCTTGAATATAAGTAGGATAAAGGAACATGAAATGGTATCAGGGAAATACAAAAAGGAGGGGAAAACGTGTATGTGTGTGTATGTGTGTATCCAAGTTCATCATCTAGTATCATTTAATTTCTCCATCAATTGGATTACCAAGAGCATAGGAATCAGAGATCTGTTGTTGACTTAAAGGAGATAGCACACATACACTGTATTCCATAAAAGATATTTGCGGTGGTTGTTTCTGTTTTTGTATTTAGAGGCATTATTATTGTTGTTTCTGTTGCACTTGTTATTGTGATTAATCATGAACAGAAAGGAAAAGACCTGGTATGCCTGGAGTGTAAAAATGGTATTTGTCCATCACATCAAGGTAGAGCTTGGAGGCTAGGCCAAATTCCACCCCAAAAACATTTTCCCCAAAAGAAAAAGGAATTGAGAGAATTACCTTTCAAAGGGAAGTGGGACACTTGCAACAGTGAACATGAGGGTTACTTCTAAAATCTCCCAGGTTAACACAGTCCTAGGAATGGAAGTCCAGAAATGAAGTGAAGCCTCTGGTACTTAGAGTAAAAGAGATGGCAAGACTGACCACGTGGGTGACCCTGCACATTGTCCCTGCAGGGTCAGGAAGCCTGGACTTTACCTGCCAACTCATCTACTTACCAGACCTGTCAAGGTACCCAAGTTACTTAACCTGTGTTATACTTCAGTCTCTCCCCTGAAACATCTGGATAAGAAAATTACAAATATCAGTTTGCTCAGTGACCCAAAAGTGACCCAAAATGTACAGCTTTCTTTATACAAGAGAGTCATTCTTTTTACTGGTACGGATGCATAGAAGCACTTACAAAGAAAGATGCCTCGGGAGGGCAGTGGAGCCATTCTGTTGGCCCATCAGGAGGCACCAGTCCAGGGTTGCCCTGACTGATGCCTCCACCCTCAACCTCTATAATTTTCTTAAGCAAATTCAATTCTGGAAACTCACCTTTCTGAAATAACAGTGAGCTTTTCAAAATGAAATTTGTCCAGAAAAGGGAGATTATGCAGCTCTTCACTGGAATAATCCTAGGACCCATAAATGGAGAAAACATGTTAACTTTAAGGGATTCACAGGCAAAAAGATGGAGAACCTGAAGGAAACTCATTTTTCAAAGGTAATAGGTACTATGTGGCTTCAGGTTTGGGAAGAAGACGAGGGAGAGTGGCAGTTTCACCTCAGTCTGGAACTGAACCCTGAAATGAAGGAAACAGTGTGTATTGTGGGCCTGGTCTAGGAATAATTTTGGCTTGATAAAAGCAATTGAACCCATTATAATCAGTTATTCCAAGGATAAGCCATGTCATGCATTAAGCAATATACCCTCTGTCTAAAGTTTAAATTGAAAGAATACAGTCAACAGTTGAAGATTTAGAGGAAAAAGGACTTACCAAAAAGAGGCAGTGCCCATGCAGTACCCAACTTTACTGGTAAGAAAAGAAGGAAAATTAGATAAAGTTAACCTGTGTATCGGTTTATTCAAAATTAAGCATTCCTGTGATTCACCAAACATCTTTTCTAGATATTTTCAGGAAATTTAAAGTTGTTTATTCCACCAAAGGGTCCACCTTAACTCATTATACCTTCCCAGCCTTCAGCCTGTGATTGGGTCCCCAATAATTTTGGCTCCTGCACTCTGCACACTTGACACCCAAGCATCCTCTTGGCTCTCATGAGAATTCGAATTGCTGATTTGTGCCTCATAAAAAGATAAAGAGTATAGATGAATTTGTTTGCATATTAAATCATCAACATCTCTCAGTTTGCAATGGTTTTAATAGGATTACAAACAAAAAGAAAGATAAGGAACTGAACAAATTGCTGGAGGAAATAGATCACAAAAACTTCTGGCACCTTCTAAATGGAACTGCAAAAGAATATACACATTTCCACAGTAGCACATGGAACTTTTACAAAAACTGACCATGTCAATTTAGGGAACAGAGATATTGCAAACAAATGGAAAAAACACAGAAATAGTTAATAAATACTTTATAGACCATAACTTTTTTTTTTCTGACAACAATTATGACTTTATTAGAAGCATCTCACACAGCCATTAAATCATGTCTTCTCAAACATAAGCATAGAGCCAGATCCAGATGATTCAATTATTTAGAGAAGAACCAAGTAGATATCACTTGAGCTACAACACTTAACCTTCTGCACTGGGGCAATAGGGTGTGGCATTATCACCAATAAGTTGTTTGTAACTGGGAAAGGAACCTCTCTGCATCACAGGTTCTCTTTCATTCTCCAAGCAATGCCACAGGATTCAGTATGTAAGCTCCTACTTAATATTTATGCTTAGTTTTTGTAGCATATACAAAAGGTGGACTCATTCAGCGATGAATGGACATTTCATCTGTTGCCCTAAAAGTACACTTTTGAGGGGGCACCTAGACAATGGCAAATTGAACAGACAATTTTGTGGAGGTTAAGAGTTACAAAATATTTGAGTATGAATGTGGTCTCACTAAGACTAGACAAACAGCAATTACCACAAAGTACACCCCAAAACATGAGCTAAGAATGCAGAGAACCAGGGCAACATGAAAGCCAATGCCAGTTGCCTATTAATTTGGAAACTCTGATTCCCAGGTCAATGAGCTTGCCCAAAATCAGACAGTTAGTCAACAAGCATTAAAGGGTCTACTATATTCTAGGCACTGTGCTAAGTGCTGGGGATACAAAGAAAGGCAAAAGACAGTCTCTCTTCTCAAGTAGCTCATAGTCTAATGGGGAAGACAATATGCGAACAATTATGTACAAACAAGCTATATACAGGACAACTGGAGATAAACTACACAGGAAAAGCACTAGTATTAGGGGAGTTTGGGAAAGACTTCATATAGAAGGTGGGATTTTAGGTGGGACTTGAAAGAAGTCAGGGAAGCCAGTAGGTAGAACTGAAGAGGAAACGAATTCCAGGCATGGTGGATATCCAGTGAAAATGCACAGTCCAGATAGAGTTTCTGGTGCAGGGAACATCAAGGAGGCCAGCATCACTGAATCACAAAGTACACAGTCAGGGACTAAAGGGAGTGGCTATGAAGGGCTTTGAATGCCAAACAGAGGCTGTTCTATTTGTTCCTGAAAGTGATTAGAAGTCACTGGACTTGATTGAAGACAGAAATATCTTTTCCCCACTCCTCAATTTACATTAAACTTGCCAACTCCAAGGATGAATAGTTTTTGTTTTTGTTTTTTTTCTGAAGTGAAGGACTCATGTAAGTATTTGGAGACTAATTTTCTTCAAAATATCTTCTAATCTTTAATGTCCCTGGCTACCATTCCAGTTAGAAGGGAGCAAACTCTGGTGAGTTCTGAGGCCACAAACAGCTTACAAGAAATAATGTGAATGGAACTGAGGGTCCATCATCACCTTGTCCAAGTGGTACAATGAAAGATTCCTTAACTCCAGCATCTCTGGTGACAGCAAAATGGGAGAGAGGCAGGAAAGCACTGAGAGATACATTTTGGGTTCTCACTTGAGCAACTTTTTACATTTCTACCAGGCTCTCAGTTTGAATAATAAAAAGTAAAAAAAAAAAAAAACCTCCAAGAAATTAGACAGGTTAGCAGAGAGCAGTTCATCCCACTCACCCCAAAACAAATTAATTTCTTCTCAGATTCTCTTATTTTTCTCTAAATGGTACCTATACACACATGTATTTTAATGATCACTTTGATTCCATTGCTACAGCTTTTGCAAGCCTAGATCTCAAGGCATCCTTGAGGTCACCACTCTTATTCAATTCCTTTAGCCTTTAGTTCCAGCTTGACCCACTGAAGATAGTTGGGATCAGAGTAACCTAAGTTTTCTGGCCCATGGAACTAGAAAGTTTTGTGGTGAATATCATTCCAAGTGATCACATCCTTGACTCCTGATGTCTGAGACTGTCCTATTGTGAAAATCAACCTTTGGTCAAAAGCTCTTTTGACGGGATGCAAAATCTGCCGTCCTTCATTATTTGGCAAGTATGCTACCCTTCTTGTTTCTTCATAGCGTTTTCCTAGGTTGGGGTGATTTTCTGTCTGTATGCCTCCCTGCATGTCATAATGAATCACAATAATGCCACATGAATTATAACCCAGAAGTGAAGAAGTTATGTAAAAGGTTGTCATGGTTCCATCTGGCTGATTCTTTTTCATGATATGATAAGAAGTCTGACACATAGGGCCCACTGGCCTTTGTTTAATGGCCAGAGAACCCATGCTTGCACTTTGGGAGGACTTCTTTGTGGTGAATGATTTCCAGAGAGATGGTACACTCCTCTCCTCTTCTTCCTCCTTTCTCCTAAGTCCCCACAGCTAGGCAATCTCTTGGAGGGAGGTAAAGCCATCTTGAAATCATCACCGTTATTTGTCCAAGGGGTATTCTAATTCTCTCCAAGGGAGAGAGCTGGCCCTTCTTTCTGCTGAACAGGACCTTCAACACTGAAGTACTTCTTAACATACTTCATTGCTCTTTCAATGTACTTGGGCAGACCAGTCAGGGTCAGCTCTTGTTCATTCCACTCCAGGATTACGTGGGGGTGCTTTCTTTCCAAGTTTTCAAAGAAGGTCTTCTCAAGCCAGCACTTTCTCTTTTGGTCTAATGGTTTCAGGGTCACCACCTCTGTGACAATCTGAGGTAACAGCATCTGAAAGATGTCAATGAAATTCTTCATAAGCATGCGCAGAGAGGTCTAGGTCTTTGTCTTTTGGTTTAAATACAATGAGGGTTTTCTGAGTTTTGGATTTGTGGACCAGTTCCATTACAGTGTAATATGTTTTCTCAATTTCTCTGATTTCTTGACCCAGAACACGCCAGTGAGCAGTATCAACCTCAATTCCAGTGTTCACATTTTCAGGAACTGCTGGTTCTTCAGGTTGTTTGCTGGAGTAGTTTTCTTCAATGTATTGTTGCGCTTCTAAAATTTCCTTTGGGTTTCCCCAGAGGACTAAGTCTTTTTCTTCAGCTTTGATATGGAGGTTTTGAAACATGTCAGTCAGGGTTTTTTGCATGTCAAGTACCACCTTGTTATCTGTGAAATGAACATCCTTATGGACCACATTCTGTATTTCCCTCTGAAAGGTTCTGGTAAAAGCTTCTTGAGCTGCATCTCTGTCCCATGCCTTATTTGTCTCGAAGTCTAGACTCACATTGCCTGTAGGATATACCAAAGCACTTTTGATGCGTACTTGATGCTCAATTTCTATTCTGTCCAGAGTTTCAGCAAAGAAATATTTGAAATATTCATACAAATGTGAAGGAACGGACAGAAGGTCTAGTTCCTCATCAGGTCTCGTTTTGGGGTTTGAGTAAAGAACAAGACTGTTGGAGTCATTTGGCATAATTTCCTCAATTTCACTTCCTGAAGCTGAGTCGGAAAAATCATCTTTCTGGTCATTTCCCAGCATGGTGTCACATAAGAATCGATAAATTTTTTCAATATCTTCAAAGTCACCAACCACTCTCTCAGGTCCATCAAAGCCTCCCTCTATTTTGATCTCTGGGCAGATGGTAATAATTATCTCTTTTTGTTCTCTGGAAAGCTTGAAGGTCAGCTGAGCCTCAACATGGAGAAATATCTTTTGAGTGAAGAAATTAGAGGGGATAAGAGCACGTATTTCTTCTGGGCTCTTCTCAATGGGAAGTTCCTTTGGCTCTGACTGAGTCAGAGTAGGAAACTGTTTTATCTCCAAAATGTTGTTCCCATCTGGGTCTTCATTTTTTTCTAGGAAGATTTTCACATTTACCCCATCACTGACTGCCACAGAGTGGTCTTTCTTTGCTAATACACCATCCTTGGCTTGTTTTTTACTAAACTCTATCCAGAAACTGCTACTGTTGGGACCAACTTTGACCTTGCACTTGCCTCCCCCAGACTTTGATGTGTTCTGGAAATACTTTTGCAGCTTCTTCTCTATTCCCAAGTGGATCTCAGACACCCAGACTAGGAGCCGGTATGGTGGGCCATCGGCGGCACCGTCAGTGGCCATCAGGGCAGGGAAGGGACTCGTAAGTCAAAGAGCTGGGGTGGCAATGTTTCTTTGCTGGGCTCTGGATGAGGAAACTGGGAAGCAAAGAGAGGAGACAAAAAAAAAAAAACAGTGCTGTCAGCTCCCTACCTCCACCTTTCTGCCCAGACCATAACTTAATAAAAATAGTAATTGGTTCAGACAGCACAAACATAAGAGAGAAATAAATGGCAACTTAACAATGAAATCCTAAATAATGAGAATTTCAAAGAATAAATTTGAAAAAACAAGTAATTATTTGAAAAAATGATGAGAAAAATGAGGCGGAAGAGGAGGAGGATTATGATGATAAAGAAGAAATAATGTACAATAATTTCTAGGATGCCAATAAAGCAGTCCTAAGGAAAGAACACACACACACACACACACACACACACACACACACACACACACACATTTATATACATATACATATATATCCTCACAAACATACATTAACAACATAGAAAATAAGAATAATAAACTGAATATTCATTGAAAAAATTAGAAAGCCAACAAGTTAAAAAGCTTAAAATAAGCACAAAGATATTAAAAAATGGAGGAGAAACAGATAAACTGAAAACAAAAATACCCTAAAGAAATGATATCTAAAATTAAGGCTGGTTCTTTGAAAAAACTAATAAAATCAATAAACATTTAGCTAATCTGATTGAAAAGAGGGGAGAAAATCAAATCAATGAAATAGCAAATGAACAAAGTGAAATATCAACAGAACCAGAAGAAATGAAAATAATCAGCATATTATATACAGTAAGCAAAAACTGTATCACAAGCCTGAGAGACATGCATTGCAACCGAAATTATTACAACAGAAAGGTGAATGCATGTGGAGACTCCCTACACCAAGGAACCCAGCAGGCAGGGAAAAGTCTTGATATTTAAGTTACAGGGGAAAGGGGAAGTAATATGGTAGGGGGAAAGGACTAATCCCCTCCCAAAGGGTAGGAGAAATCATGAGTAAGAAAAATGTCAAAAGCAGCATTCTTTTCCCTTGGGAACTGCTAGACATATATGAACATATATGATGGTCTGATCATCTACAAGTGTCCCAGCTGCAGAAACAGTTTCTCAGTCAGGTGTAGACTGACTGGCACCTGTCTTGAATCACAAGGAGCACAGAGGGCGTTGAGCTTGGGGTACAAATAACAAATTATGTCAGCTTGGGGGTGGGTGGGTGGGGCCTCATGCTTGACACATTCAGGGTCTCTTGAATACTCCAGGTCCAGTGTTTCAGCAAAATATGGAAACTCAAAAAGATAAATTCAAGGGGCCCCTTAACAATTGCTCCCTACCTCCTCTTGGTGAAAGGGGACCCCTGGGTATGCCAATGACCACAGAGAATGCATTTGGTAAAACATTCCCATGGATACTACCCAGGAAGGGTCTCTAATGGTAAAAGAAACACTTCAAAAGGATAAAGGTCAACAGACAGAGAGCTAACAAGAGACCTTGGGCACTTTTACATCTTGTAAGATAACAGGATAGTTCCAGTTACAAAGAGAGATCAGAACCAGAACCATAAAGGACATAGTAAAAATGCTCAAAATCAGGGATTAATCCAGTAGGGAAAATCATACAACATCAAGAAAACTGAGAGAACTTAGTATACAGATACAGAAAATGAAAGCCAAAGTGGTACAATAATGGACATCAATATTAACAAACATTATCTCACTGCAATAACCCTTCCCAATATCCATGCAATCAACACATTTCATCTTGGATCTCAGACATTCTATGCAGTCATTCTGTCCCTGGCACATCTCTTCTTGGGGCAATCTAGAAAATATTGTGTCCTCAAGGGGGACCACCTCAGTGGACTTCCTTTCTGGTTCTAAGTTACTTGTAAAGACTCCTTAAACATTTCTGCTAAAATCTACTACAAAACAGATCTCAATACAAGACTTCCATACTAGTAACAAAATTTACTTCTCTAACAACTAGTACATGTGGTGGAAACCAGCTGGACCCTAGTGATTCTTATCTAATAAATGAAAGAGAAATAAGGGGAACATTCAATTAGGAGCTCATAGTCCACCTGAAACTTCAGAAATTTAGGTTATAAATACCCCACACTGTTTCTATCTTTATCTAAATTCTATACCTAACATAAACATTGTTAATAACAAGCTAAGAAGATGAGTGTGATACACCAATGAAATTGCATAAAAGTTACCAAATTAACTACCATTGTAGCAAAAGACTTGAGATGGGACATGGAGATACACTTAAGTAATCAATTTCAAAACGCTATATATCAAAGAAGTTGTTTATAAAAATATATATTCAAACCACAGGAAATAATTGGTATCATTTCCACGTTAAAGAAGAATCTTAAATAAAACTGACTTTCCATTGGTGTAACACAAATTATCCATAAGTTACTATTCTATAAGAGAACTGATTTCAATAAAATTCATTTCTTCAAACCAAACTGAAGATGTTTCTGATTTCTTTTTAATTATCAATAGAAGAATACCAGCTTGGCCCGATAAAATTTGCCATCAACACTCAATTATTCTCACATCATTTGGAAATATTTAAGGACCTTATTTTATACAGATATGTATCTATATCTAAAGATATAGCTATATATACACACATACATATATACATATACATAGTCATATGGATGTATATATGTAAACAGACACAGATGACTATAACAAATACTCATTTACTAAGTTGTTTAGGATATAGAAAAGACTAATTCTAGGCTGAATAGCTCAGATCTTACACATACGAGTTTTATTATAATAGACCGGATGTGTTCTAGCCTTAGTCTATGGGGTAATGATTTAACATTGTGCTTGTATCTGTGTTTCACAAGCTTCTTTTACCTTTGCCTAATTATTCCCGTAGCATTCAGAAAGAATGAGCTGTTCCAGGGACTTAATCTTACCATGACTATGTAAGTATTAACAGGAAGATGGCAAGCCCAAATACTAAGTTACTTAGTTCTTTGGGATATGGAATGACTAAAATCCAGGCTGGGGAACCTGTGGCCTTCTAGGTCCTTGGGTTGTAAAAAAAAAAAAAACAAAAACAAAAAACAAAAAAACTTGAGTCCAAGTTTTACAGAACAAATCCTTTTATGAAGGGGATTTGTCCTGTGAAGTTTGGATTCAGTCAAAGGGCTGCACTTGAGGACCTAGAGGGTCACATGCAGCCTTTGAGGCCACAGGCTTCCCACCCCTGGATTATACATTTAGACTGAAAACAGTAAGATCTTACATACTTTGTGTTGTGCTCCTATCTTCTATTGACCACTTGCTCTAATTATAGAAATTTGCTATAAAAAGGGAAAAGTAAGGATATGATTCTAAGCATCAAACCTAGCCCTTAATGACTCAACACATATATGGCAGGATAAAGCATTCTTACCTCTGTTTGACTTTAGGTAAGAGTCAAAGCTGACAACCACTTGTGCATAAAAAAATTCCACCTCATAATCAGACTCAGGAATAGCAAGTGGGAAAATATTCCTGTTCAAAAGGAAGTTACAAAATGTAGAAACTACGCCAGAAGGATCCTACCTTGTGCCACACCAAGCTCTTTCCCTTTGCTTTTTCCCAGACACAGACCTCTACCTGTAAGAGTTCAAGATCACATTCCCTCTGAGTAGCTAGTGGCATTTCTCTTGAATGGTGAACTACTGACTTAATGATCCATCAGATAATTATACCTGGATTCAAAACTCAAAACAGTATCAGTTACAGTCCCAAGAGCTTTTACCTCAAATGGCAAGTTTCACTAATCACAGCTTAGGGCTAGATAACAATTATTTTTACTCTCATGGAGTTGCAACAAGCAATAAAAGTTAACCAAGACTCGCACACACACGAGAGATTTTACTTAACATTCTTCACTTGTTTTTCTTTTCTTTTTCTCCTTGAACTAAGACTCATCCTGTAGTAAGGATCAATCATTAGAAATCACTTCTATATTATATACAAACTTGTAAATTCTCAGTTAGCCAATTTCATTGTTTAGGAACTCCATAACCCATAACAAGCTCTTTTCCCAGGGCTGATGACCTTGCCCACACAGATGGTTTCCAGGAATATGTCAAGTTCACAAAATAAGGGGGGTCTACAAGGTCTTTTCTTTGAACTATTTCTCACACAGTAATCAGTGACCAATTTTTCCTTTTAAAATACCTATATAAATACTTGAAAGGTTTTAACATTATGACAATAATCCCAAATAACTTAGTTAACAATCCTACAATTTTCATAAGTGACAGCCAAGTAGTTTTAGCTGTAACTTCCTCTTAACTCTAGGCAAAGACGGAAATTTCCAATTTCCTAAGCTGTACTTACAAAACCAGATTAGCAAGACCAATAAAATAACATTTTTAAGCAATTTTTTCCACCTTCTTTAAGTTGTTCAATTCATACTCTAATAACATTCAAGTTATGAAAAGTTGTTCTTCCAATGACATAATTGATGAAATAGGTTACCAATTTCACAATATAATAAAATTAAGCAATATAACAATGCCATAAATAATAGCATGTGTCAGACTTGAAACAAACCCATTAACACTCAGGTGACTTCAATTCAGTTGAATGCATTTCCAAATTACCTTACATAGAAAATCATTTTATCGTCATTGGCATCCTATGCTGATCACATCTAAAACCTGTATAAAGTCATCATGTATGAGGCAGTTTCATCTAATTAAAGAAATAAAAATAACAGTTAATATCCACATAGTGCTTGTCCTATACTAGGCATTGTGTTTAGTGCTTTATGATCATATGATCCTCACAACAACCATGGGAGATAGGTTCTATTATTAGCCCCTTACAGATTAGCAAATTGAGGTAAACAGACATGAGGTCACTTACTAAAGATCACCCAGTTAACAAAATTTCAGCTTCTCAATTTGTGTGAATGCCAAATAGTATAATAAATTCTTATGTATCATAAACATCACATTAGGAAAGAAACACTTCACTTAATATAAGACCAGAATAAACTCAATCATACCTGGATCTATTTTCCAACAGATAATGAATCTCAATTCCTA